GTGACCTGTTTTATGGGGGTGCTGTGATGACTACAGTAAATAGTCTTTGTAACGTGAGTCATTATGCTGCTACGTTTATGAAGGGTTTGCAAGGTGTCATGCACTTGCTCTGACACAGGGAGTATCTGAACCCTCACAACAACCTATGGGGAGGGTCCTATTCCTAAGCCCGTTACAGAGGAGGGAACCAAGTTTGGAGAGGTTAGCTAACTTGCCCAAGGTCACACAGTGAGTGAGTAGCAGAGCCCACATTCAAATCCAAGTTGTCTGACCCCGGAATCCACGCTCTTAACCATCTTCCTCCTTCTTAGTGCATCTAATAAGCGCTCAGTAAGTGATGGTTGTAATCCTAGCCGGTGTCAGCTCTGCCAGGAGGCGGTGTATGTGACCGCAGAGTAATTTGGGAGAGGTGGTAATTGTACTTCCAGGCTGAGTTGTGTTCATTCTACTCATTCCATTCCTCCTGTTGCTCAGGAGCCCTCATTCATTCCATCTTGCTCTCCTCCCACTCCTTGCTTTTCCAGAGCCTCTGGTCTGACTGGTGCAGTGAGTGGCCACCTGCTGAATACCTCTGCCGTTTGCCTTGATGTCATGCATCACTGACCAGCTCCCCACGCAGGAGCTCGGGTTGTTGACCTTGGTCCATAGGGGTTCCCCTTCTTCCTGCTCCTCTCTAGGACTCTGCTGAGTGGCAGCATTGATTCAGACCCTCCTCGTCCCCTGAGATCATGGGAAATCTTTATTAACCTGCTGTGAGAGCGGTTGAAGGACAGGCCTTGGCGCCACCTGCTCGTGAACCGAGAGCAGATCAGTCCTGAGAGCAGGGCCACCATACTGTCTTCTTACCTGGGCTTACGTTTAGCCAAGTGCTGTCTTATCAGTTTGACGAAGACTGTGGGTTCATTATTCCTCATGATCTGGGTTCATGTCTGTTGAACACTGGCTGTTTACCGGGACCTGTGCTAAGCCTTTTCCATGCTTTATACCGTTCGCTCCTCCACACCAATGCTGTGCAGTGCTTTCTGCAGTGATGGGACGTCTGTGTCTGCTCCGTCCAGCAGGGTACCCTCCAGCCACACGTGGTCTCTGAGCATTTGAAATGTGAATAGTGCAACTGAAGAACTGGGGAAAATGGGAAACTATAGAGGAAAATATTGACAGATTTGACTACATAAAAAAATTAAAATTTCTCAATAGGAAAAAACACACCAAAAGCAAAGTTTAAATGTCAGTTGAGACTGGGCGAAAACAAACAAACAAACAAACAAAAACACCCCAAAACAGAAAACAGGGCAACAAACAGGGTTAAATTCTTAACGAATAAAGCAGATGGAGGGGAGGGGACGTATGTAATACTTTCAACAATAATGATTTAAAAAAAAAAAAGCCGAAGCAGATAAGCTTTTTTTTTAAAATATATATTTTATTGATTTTTTTACAGAGAGGAAGGGAGAGAGAGAGTTAGAAACATCAATGAGAGAGAAACATCGATCAGCTGCCTCCTGCACATCCCCCACTGGGGATGTGCCCGCAACCCAGGTACATGCCCCTGACCGGAATCGAACCTGGGACCCTTTAGTCCGCAGGCCGATGCTCTATCCACTGAGCCAAACCAGCTTCGGCAGCAGATAAGCAAAGCCCAGCAGCCAGGAGATTGGGGAGGTTATGAATAGGCGCTTCACAGAAATGTGAACTGCCAATGGCTAATAAAGCTGCCCAACCGCATTAGTGATCAGAGAGACGCAATTTAAAGCAGTTAAGCACTGTTTTTCACCGATTGGAGCGGCAGGAATTAGACTAATTCCATCCTGTGTTGGCCAGCTTGGTCGGTGTGGAAACTGACCCACCTTTTAGACAGGCGAGTGGCCGGCTCCAGCCACATGGTGAATGTGCGTGTTCTTTAGCTCCGCAGTTCCACGCTGAGCACTCACCGGGCATATTACCCACACAGGGATCCACCCATGTTTGTCGTAATATTTTGTGTAATATCAGAGAATTGGAGCCAGTAGCCATGTCTAACCATGGTTAAAGCATGGTACCACCCATGGTAGAATACAGTGTGGCTATGAGCAAGAACACAGTGGATGTGGATGTAGTGATATGGAAATATACACCTGATGTATTGTTAAGAAAAAGCAGCTTTCAGAACAATGAGCACAATATGATCCTATTTCACTTTTTAAAATCTGTGCATGGCCCTGGCTGGTTTGTCTCAGTGGATAGAGCATCGGCCTGCAGACTGAAGGGTCCCGGGTTCAATTCCGGTCAATGGCACATGCCTGGGTTGCAGGCTCGATCCCCAGTAGGGGGCGTGCAGGAGGCAGCCGATCAATGATTCTCATCATTGATGTTTCTATCTCTCTCTCCCTCTCCCTTCCTCTCTGAAATCAATAAAATATATATTTTTTAAAAATAATAAAAAAATAAAATCTGTGTATGCAGGGAAAGGGCTGGGAGGACACACACACACAAGCTGTTGACAGTGAGGAACAGGGAGCAGGCGGCTTTCATATTTATATCCACTTCCATGTCACTCGCATTCTTAGGGTGAGCAAATATTGTTTCCAAAATAATTTTTTTTTTTTTACTGTGAGGAGAATACTTTAGGGGAATAAAACATGCCGAGCTTCGCCAGGACACAGCCCATGCTAATGCAGGAGCCAAGGCGTCTTTTCTTGCTTTAGTAGAAAAGATAATAATCTGCACATCACTGGCATCTGTGGTTGGCTTGATTTAAAATGTGCATAAAAAAGGAAATCGTTGCGCTTATAGCTTACCCACACTAGTCAGGGGAAGCCTTTGCTGCTCCCAAAATAGCACTCGGCACGGGGCTGCATCCTAGCACCTTCCCTAAAGCAAAGGCATGGTTCTCACCACGGTTCCCTCCACGGGTCCCCGGGTCTCGCACTTCCAGGGAGCCAGGGGAGCAGACAGGCCCCTCTGGCACCACCCCCACCCCTGAGCCCAGCCTGACAGCAGCTGGCTCAGAAATAATTTTGTTTAAAAAGATATTTTAATTTATTTCAGAGAGAAAGGGAGAAGGAGATAGAAACATCAATGATGAGAGAGAATCATTGATCGGCTGCCTCCTGCACGCCCCACACTGGGGATCGAGCCCACCACCGGGCATGTGCCCTGACTGGGAATCAAACCGTGACCTGGTTCATAGGTCAACACTCAACCACTGAGTCATGCCGGCTGGGGAGGAATAATTTAATCTTGACCTGAGAAAGGAGTCTGCGTTCTAGCCATGGCTCCCTCATTTAGCTAAACATCATAGTGAAGGTGGCTTCAGTCACCTTCTCTGTTTAAAGATAAATGAGTAAAAATTTAAAACTTGTCCATGTTTTCAAGTGGGAGAGTGGGCTTGGCTACTTTCACAGCGAAGAAGGTGAATAGGCCTGTTTTCCTCTTCGTTAGGGAGTCACACTCCATCTCTGAGGATGCTTCTGGCTCTAACATTAAGCCCCTGACCTCAGATCTCCTTGGATTTTGAAATTAAAAAAAACAATCTCGGTAGTCAAGTGCACAGAAGACTTTCGGCCGCTGCCGCCAGGGAGTCGTGTGGTTTTCACGGGCTCTCTGCTCTTCCTGTCCGTTCTGGAAACCTCTCCTCCTGGGCTTAGTTTGCCTGCCTCTCGGGACGCAGGGCAGACCCGAAGGACCGAGCCTGCCCTGGCCCGCAGGCCTGCGGCTCACCCGGCCACAGAGGAGAGACTGTCTGTGGTGCGGCGGGTGGTGGCCTCTCTCCAGGAGCGCGTGCTTGCTGGTGTGGCTGATGCGTCTCGCCTGCTGCCGCCACCTCCACTGCGGCGTCAGAAACACTTGAGAGCAGGTTTGTCCAGTGCCAAGAGCTTAAACCTGAGCTGAGCGAACAGGGATGTGCTCTTCCCCCTCAGGCCGTGGCAAGGGCAACAGCAGTTGAGAGAATGGCTGAAATGAAGGTGCAAAGACGGCGCCTGGGGCTTTCCTTGAAAGGGGCTCCTGCCTCCTAACTGGTTGCAGAGAACTCAGTCCAAATATCTGGGCTTTCGCCCGGCCGGCGTGGCTCAGTGGTTGAGCGTCAGCCCGTGAACCAAGAGGTCGCTGGTTCGATTCCCGGTCAGGGCACATGCCCAGGTTGCAGGCTCAATCCCCAGTAGGGGGCAGGCAGGAGGCATCTGATCAATGCTGTTTCTCTTTCATCGATGTTTTTCTCTCTCCCTCTCCCTTGCTTTCTCTCTAAAAATCAATAAAGACTTTTTTTTAAACCCACAAATTAAAAATAAATAAATAAATAACCCCCCACAAATACCTGGGCTTTCTTCACCTTCACTAAGCGGGTCGAGCTGCCCTCACCTTCGCCAGCCGGGTGGCGTTTGCTCGGAGCTGCACTTCGTCCCGCCCGCTGTCCACATCTTGCATCAGTCCACCTGGGGACAGTGTCCTTGGTGTAGGGCTTGCCATGAGCCTGGCATGTTCCCAGCTCCGTGTCCAGCCTCGTCAGGCTCCTCAGGCAGATCCTTGCCAGAGGCTGGCACGGAGACCGTGGCAGCCGGTGCCCCAGCCCATCAGCCCTTAGCTTTTCCAGAGGAGCAGCTTGGAGCAAGGCCTCCGTGTGGCACAATCCGGGGGAGGGGGGGCATTTACACTGGGCACGGGGGTTCGTTTAAGTGGGTATTAACATTCTGGGTAGCAACCCTGGGGCTGTGTAGCTCGGTGACCCAGGCTCGGACCCTGGTACCACCTGAGACCTCCGCATGGACAGTGACAACCTGGCCTGTTGTCACTGTGCAAAGCACCTGGTAGTGCCTGAGGGGCCTGAGCTGCAAGGACACAGCCTTGGTCTCTGGACCCCACAGTGCAGGACGGGCAGCAGTGCAGGTAGATGGAGGCGGACCCCCTCGCGGTCACCACGAGGACGCCATTCGACTGGTTTTCTCAGCCACCTTCTCGGTTCCCAGGCTCCTATGGCCTCCTCTGTCTCCATCTCCGATCTAAGGTGGTTGTTCCCCCTTCAGTTGCAGAGCTACTTCGCTGCGTGTGAAGATGAGACCCCTGCCATCCGGAACCACGACAAGGTGCTGCAGCGCCTATGTGAGCACTTGGACCACGCCCTGCTGTACGGGTAAGCTGGGCAGCTGGAGAAGGCGCTGGGCAGCACAGGGCACGGCCGGGCCATGCGCGGCCTCCGGAGAGAAATCCCCGGCCTCGTCCGCCTTCTGTTGCTCCCTTCCCTTGGCGGAGAGAAATGTGTCTCGCTCAGGTGGGCCGCAGGCGGTCTGTGGTTATCGGGGTAGATTGTCTCTGAGCGGCACACGAAGGGGGAGAGAAGGAGGAGGTGGAATGGGGAGGCACGTTGTCTGTGGGTCCCGCCGGGAAGCCATGGCTCTTGGCCTTGAGCTCACGACTGACGCAGCTGGTGGGCCCGCTGCCGGCACCTTCCCCGGGAGCCCTGCCCAGGGACAGCAGCTCCTGTCCTCTCCTCAGGCTGCAGGACCTCTCCTCTGGCTACTGGGTGCTCGTGGTGCACTTCACCCGGAGAGAGGCCATCAAGCAGATCGAGGTGCTGCAGCACGTGGCCACCAACCTGGGGCGCAGTGAGTAGTACAGGTGGATGCTGGGAAGGGCCAGCTCCGCTCTCCCTGTGGGTGGCTTGGGGCTTAGGTGCGGCCTCCTGGTCAGCCCAGGGAGCCAGTTACCGTGTGATGTCCAGAGGCAGTGGGGCCCCCAATGCCAGTGCCCTCCAGAGGCCCCTCCTCCCTGCGAACGGCAGTCTGGGAGCGTCGAGGGCGGGGTGAAGGAGAGTGGGATACTGAAGAGAATCCCAGCCGAGCACATAATGGGTCTCGCTTCCCTCCTTGAGTGAGGATCAGTGTTAGCCTGCAGGGTCGTGCAGAATCCTTGCCTTTGTCAACCCCCTGGAGTTTAAAATCTGCCCTCTTTGTCCAGCTTCCTGGGCAGCTACAAGCTAGGGGCTCACCGGGAAAATAAAGATATCAGGGTCGTGGCCCTCCAGGAGGAGGCGAGGCTGTTGGCATGCGTGGTCCCCCTCCCCCGCGCTGTCTCGCCTCCCTGCCCATGCCTGGCACACGCACTGCGCACTGGCAGACCTTCCTCCCAGTGACTCCTGCCCCTGTTTGCAGGCCGGGCCTGGCTGTACCTGGCCCTCAACGAGAACTCCCTGGAGAGCTACCTGCGGCTGTTCCAGGAGAACCTGGGCCTGCTGCACAAGTACTACGTCAAGTGAGTGCCTGGTCGGTCCCCGCAGCCCCCGAGCTGCCCTGGCGCCTCGTCCCACAGGCTCTCGCCACATGCAGACACCGTGGTATGCCACCGCAGAGGCCCGGCCTGGCACTGCCTGCTAAGGGCACATCAGTGCTGGCCACAGGGGCCTCCGAGCCCGGCCTGTGCGGCTTGTGCCAGGAGCTCTGGGGCTCCGGCTGGGCTCCTGTGTTTGGTGCTCTGCCTCCGCCTGATCCTCTCCCCGGGCCTCAGACCGGACTAGAATGTGCAACCTTTGCTGGGGTTGCTGCAGGATCAGAGTATTTATAGCAGCTGCTGCGAGCCAGCTGGGCCTTATGCCACAGGCCCCGGATCGGAAGACACTGGCGGGAACTTGCTATATGGCCCAAAACCAGGAGGAGAGGCTGGGAAGGGGTGGGTGAAGCTGCCTCCAGCCGGGTGCCCTCAGGGAGAGGGGTGTCACATGTCGCATTTCAACACAGCGGGCTTGTTGGTGAGGGAGGGCGAGCTGGACACCAGCCCAGCGCCACCACCGTCCCCTCCGTGCCTCACAGGAATGCCCTGGTCTGCAGCCACGACCACCTGACTCTCTTCCTGACCTTGGTGTCTGGGCTGGAGTTCATCCGCTTCGACCTGGACCTGGTGAGACCCCGTGGCTCTCCGGCTCTCGGGGCAGAGGAGTGGGCGGTGGGCACGTGGTACCCAATCTGGGGAGTTTCCAGGCGTGACCAGGCCTGAGCCACGCCTTGTTTATGCAGGTGGGGGCGGGTCAGGGTCTGCACTTGGGAGTGAGAGGAAGGGTATGATTCTCTCTTGGCCTGAGGCCAGATATCCTGGTTTGGCCGACTCCTTCCATCTCTGTTCCTCCTGGGAGAAGAGCCACGCTGCCTGGATGGTTAGGACATGAGTGTTTGAGGGGGACAAGGCCAACTCATTTCTATGCCTCCTGGGGTCCTGGACTTGCCACCGGCTCTGGCTCCCGGCCTCTCTCCTACATTCACACACTAGAGACGTTCGGTGCCGGTCCAGATCGAGCCAAAGGGGCCCATGGCGCCTCGGACGCAGCTGCCCCGGCCGAATCCAGTCCCCTTCCTGGGTCCCTGCCCGGTCGGCACAGACTGAAGAGGAGGAGGAATTAGGGGAAACGAGCAATTCGAATAGTGATTGGTCAGAGACGGGCTAGAGGCCTCGCTGGTCCTGTCCTCTGTGGGCCTCAGGTCCAGCTCTCAGTGCCACACCCATCACATCACTCGTTAGCAGCTCGTTTCTGCAGTTAGTACCTTAAGCCCATTGGTTTCCCAGAGAAAAGCTAGCATGGGGGAGGGTGTGACAGGCAGGCCCGTGGCTCTCGAACCCGGCCCCAGACCTGCCTTTCTCCTCTCGCCTCAGGACGCCCCCTACTTAGACCTGGCCCCCTACATGCCCGACTACTACAAGCCTCAGCACCTGCTGGACTTCGAGGACCGCCTTCCCAGCTCGGCCCACGGCTCCGACAGCCTGTCCCTCAACTCCTTCAACTCCGTCACCTCCACCAACCTGGAGTGGGACGACAGTGCGATCGCCCCGTCCAGTGAGGGTAGGTGGCCGGGCAGACAGGAGCCAGGCCTCCATGCTAAAACCGATTCTAGAGCCCCTTGCGCCCGGCAGGTCGGCGTCTCTCTCGGCTCCTCCTGGTCCCTAGTCCTGGTCCAGCGGCTGAAGTGAAAGTTAAACAGGGTCAGCGTCTCTCAGGTCCTCGTTTCCTCCGAGCCCCTGTGGAGGCTAAGAAAGTAACTCTGGAGACAAAAAGTGAAGCAATCCTGGGACCGATCTTGGGGATGTGAGACCCTTTTCTAGAAGGCTGTAGCCCCAGGCCCCGGGCAGTTTTCCGAGTGAGGAGGGATTAGTGTGTGACCAGGAGACTTCCTCTCATCGCAGGGGTGAGGGCGCCCGCCCCAGATTTTAGGCAGAAAGAGGCTAAGGAACCCCTGGAGAGAGAAGAAAGCCAGGTGGATGCAAAGCTTAGGGGAAACCTGCCAGCATTTCTCATGAGTCCCTCCCGCACTTGTTAGTGTGTCCGCGAGGACTGCACCCATCGCATCAGAGACTGAAAAGGAAGGCCATCGCATCTGGAGGTCATTGTGTTGTCTTGATCCAAAAGCTTTACCGAAACAGCCTGGCTCCTTTCAAGCCTTGGGCCTCCGTGTTCATGTATTATTTATTTATTTATTTATTTATTTTTAAAAAGTATATTTTTACTGATTTCAGAGAGGAAGGGAGAGAGAGATAAAAACAATAATGAGAGAGACGCATTGCCCCTCACTGGGGATCGAGCCCGCAACCCAGGCATGTGCCCTGACCGTGGATTGAACCGTGACCTCCTGGTTCATAGGTCGATGCTCAACCACTGAGCCCCGCTGGCTGGGCTGTGTTCATTTATAGAACTGGCTGTTTCCTCACCCCCAGGAAGGGGGATCCAAGCCCACGTTCAGCCCCTGGGACTCCCTAGAATTGCATCAGCATTGAGGCCTTGACCTTTTTCTTTATTTCTAATTGTGCCATGAGCCATGCGTGCCCAGGGAGAGGGTAGCTACTGTCTGACTTCTGTTAGCAAGACTTGCATTGCTCCTTGTACAAGTGGACGGAGTGCGGGCTCATGGGCTGCCTCAGAGAAGGCAGAGGGGCGCCCCAAAGGAGCAGCCCCCCTTGTCTCAGCTGCTGGTGCGGAGGGAAGGAAGGCTCAGGATAGAACAGACGGTAGGAGCACGTGGGCCGCCTTCTCTGCTGGAACCAGGTTCCCGGCCCCCGACGTCCTCCCCGCTGGTCAGAGGCCACTGGGGTCCGAGTGAGTCCCCTGAGGTTGGCTGTGAGATAAAATGTAGAAAGTCTAACTTTTCCTCTTGTTTTCTCCCATGTCCCCGCCCTGTTGCCCCCACCCGCCCTGTCCTTCCACTTCCTGTTTCTAATGGTCAGTTTTGTCCCGTTTTTGTAGATTATGATTTTGGAGATGTGTTTCCAGCAGTGCCGTCTGTACCCAGCACAGACTGGGAAGGTGGGCAGAGTCCGCTCTTACCCTCGTTTCCATGCCAAGCTTGCTGCATGATCCAAAATCAGCTCGATACTTATAATCATGTCAATGATCGTACTAAAGCCCAGCCTGGTGTCCTGATAGATGGAATTCTGCAGGCGGAGAGCTCCACCTCTAGCCCCAGGCCAACGCCTCCTCCCAGGGCAGGACTCCTGCCTGCGGGCTGACGCCGTGGCCTGTGGAGTCACGGGGTGACTGCTTCAGGGACACACAGATGTCCCTTCCCGCCTTCGGTGCCACTCCATGCACGGATGTGCCTGCGGAACTGCTGGCCTTGGGCACGCACTGGGGCCTGACCCAGCGAGTGCAGATTCGTTCTAGAAAGAGATGCCTTGGAGCGTGTGGGTTGTAATTCCTGTAGGTCAGACGCATTCCTGTGTCAGAAGCATCAAGAAGCAAAGGCAGAGGCTTGATTCCTTCAGTCCGTTCTTAATGGCTTCCTCTCGGACATTTCTGAAGGAGATTGAGGGAAATTGCCCACATACCGTACAGATGAACCTTCCCATGGAGAGATTCTCTTAAATCTCAAGGCAGATTAAAATACACTCACTCAGCCCACCCTCCCACCGTGACCACTAGGTGGCAGTAATACTCAGGCATTTTCCTGCTGGGCGGGGAGGGGGCCCCAATTCTGGGCTTGTGAGAATTTGTGAAGCTATTCTTTACGTTCAGTTCCGTGATTGCTCAGAGCACAGGGCATGGTCTTGACGTTAACGCGTCCTCTTTAAATCTGAGGCCATAACCAGGCCCCGTGTTAGAGACCCCTTGCCCTGTAGGTCACTTCCATGGGGGGGGGGGGGCAGCCTCTGAAGGGGAGGGACAGGCGCCCTCCCACTGGCCCCTCGTTATGAGAGCGGTGATCCCTGAGTAATGGATGACAGATGACCTTTGCCCCAGTAACATGCGGATGAAACCGCTGAAGTCCGAGGGAAATAAGATGACACTGGGAAAGATAAATTCCGCCATCTGGCCAGGAGCGTAGCATCAGAGTCCCACCTCGCAGCTAAGAGTAGCGCGAAGTCCAGAATTCCATCCTGACAGCACCTGTCCTCTCAGCCTCTCTTGCAGCAGGCGCGCTGGGCATCGACCTTTCCCCTCTGGTTCTAACCGCTAACCCTCCTGACCCGCTACTTGTTGCCTGTGCAATGCTTGATGAGCAGGGCCCTGCAGAGCACCCTGTGGGCCCCGGGGTGGGGACTGGGCGGCTGTCCCATGGTCCTTGGCTCATTTACAGGATTGGGAGGTACCCCAGCCTTGACACCCACCACGTCCGGTGGTCCGCTCGCTCACCTCTCGGGCTCCTCCCAGGAGCAGCTGCAGATCCCCAGGCCTGGGACAAGACGTGGGGCTTTGCAGGAACCTTCTCTGAGACCAAAGGGCAAGGTTTTCTGCATTGAGAACTAGGGCGCTGTGGTCCCAGGATGTCAGGAGAAAGTCTCATCTATTGCTGGTGGTTTTGGGGGTTTTAATATATTTTTACTGATTTCATGGATGGGGAGAGAAACATCAATGATGAGAGAGAATCACTGATCAGCTTCCTCCTGCACACCCCCTACTGGGGATCGAGCCACAACCCAGGCATGTGCCCTGACCGTGAATCCAACCGTGACCTCCTGGTTCATGGGTCAATGCTCAACCAGTGAGCCCCACCTGCCAGGCTGTTGCTGGTGTTTTTTTCTGGCAGGGCTGGCAATTGCTTTTAGCTGCCTCCTTTGCCCTTATATTAAAAGACAATGTACTTTTTGAAAAATGCGGATGGCGTGCTGTGTCAGCAGGCAGCCGCCAGCGGTCCGAGATCCACTAGGAAGCTGACGGCCGCCAGGCCCTTCGGGTGAGGCTGAGGGCGGGCAGCATGCTTGCCCGTCTCCGGGGCAGATAATGGCCAGTACACCTTGTACAAGGTGCTAATGGAGCGTGAACGGCCTGTGTCCCCTGCCATTAACCTTCACCCAGGCTGTTCCACCAGCCGGGCCTCGGCCTCTGCTTGGGCAGCTCCCATCTGCCACCAGATAAATGTCCCGTGTGCTTTTCCTCTCCGTGTCCTGTTCTGGTGACCCGGATGGATGGGGGGCGGGGGGGGGGGGGGCTAGACCAGGTCCGCTCTGGAGGGGCAGCAGCATCCCCACCCGTCTTCTCCCCGGGCGGAGGCGGGTGACAGTGGACCCGAATGCAAGCTGAGGCTGGAATGAAAGCGAGTTCTCAGCACCCCCCTTCCAGGGCCCCCTGGTCCTGCCCCTGGAGCATGTGGGTCGTCAGGGAGAGAGGCAGCCACTGAAGGGCCCACGAGGCATCTGTGGGCAGCCACGCGGCACACGTTTCTTGTCCCCTTCACATCTCCTCCCTCCTGTGCTCTGGCTCCTTCTCTCTGCCCTTCCCCCTGCTCCTCACCCCTCAGCCTTTGCCCTTCACTCTGCACCCGCATTTTCTCTGATCTCTGTCCTCTCTTTTGTTCCTTCTTATCTGCCTCTGTGGGGGACCCTCAGAGGACTTGGGGTATCTCAGTCCTCCCAGTGCCTTGCGGGCACCCCTCTAGCCTCCGCTGAGGGAGGGTTAAACTGAGTGGCGTGCGGCCTGCCCCTCTGCGGGCACCGAGGTCTCCACCGGGGGCTTCAGCTTGGAGCTCTTACCTCCAATTGGCCACGTTGCCGTGGCTCTCAAGGGCTCCTGCTGCTGGTGGTGGTGGTGGTGGTGGTGGTGATGGTGGTCCCTCTAAGTTGCCCTGAAAGCACAGATCCCATGTCCTGTTGGGTCTGGGCTTCTCCGCTTGAAACGGGGCCACCCCATCAGATTTCCCTGGGAGGAACTTGCCCACCCTCCGCATGAGGAAAGGCTGCTTTGGGGGCCCAGAGGGTGTCTGACGGGCGGTGTCCTGCTTGCTGCTCTTCCTCCTCGCAGATGGGGACCTCACAGACACCGTCAGTGGGCCCCGCTCCACTGCCTCCGACCTGACCAGCAGCAAGGCTTCCACCAAGAGTCCCACCCAGCGCCACAACCCCTTCAATGAGGAGCAGGCAGAGGCCGTCTCCTCCTCCGACACCACCCCTGTGCACACCGCCTCTCAGGGGAAGGAACCGCACCCCCCGGAGCTGCTGGACGCCGGCACGGAGCTCGAGGTCATCAGGTCAGTGGGGAGGGGGTGAGCATCCCTCTTCAGTCCAGGCAGGCAGTTGGGCGTCTTCCTGGAGGCAAAGTACCCCCTCTTCCCTTGCTGGTGCCTTGAGCAAGAGGAATAGCCAGCCCAGAGGACAGAGGCACTGGCTGGTCCGCGTCCAGAGCAGCTTGAGCCGCTCAGACCCGGGGTCCCTTAGCCAGGCCCACGGCAGCCAACGTGGGACCGAAGAGTGGGTGCCAAGAGTTTGATCCCAAAGACTTTGAGTCCATTTCTGGTTGAATTGTCCGTGATGGGAAGTGAGGCCAGCGCAGGGGCCATGGCCCACGTCCTAAGGGAAGGGCTGAGTAGAGGGACCATTGGCCTGACCAACCGTGGCCTGTTGTTCCCTAGAACGCAGCTAGCTGCACTGCAGGACCTGCTCAGGGGCCTCTGGCTGCTGCCATCTGTGCCTCCTCGGGCTGGTCCCTGCCTCTGCCAGCCATGGGGGAGACCTCAGGGGCCCAGCCGCTGCTGCCCCCAGCCAGGACCCTGCACCCAGCACTGCCCGGGACCACTGAAGCTCTGGCCATGCCCTCAGAGGTCACACACCCAGGATCACCTCTTTTGGCCCCACCCATCCATGTCCCTGAGTGCCTGGTGCTCAGAGGCTAATTTCTCCCCTCGCCTCTCTCCCAGGGTCACCAAGAAAAAGAAAGCTGGCAAGAAGAAGAAGACCAGATCAGATGAGGAAGCCAGTCCACTTCGCCCAGCCTCCGCCCAGCACACGGGTGCCAGGAGGGGGGATGGCGACAGCCGGGTCAGCAGCCCAGGCCTTGGGCGGGGCTCACCAGACACCACCTTGGCTTCCCCCCAGGAGAAGGGAGAGGGGCCCAGCAGCGCCGCTGAGAGCAGCGAGCGCTCAGAGCCCAGCCAGATGGGCCTGCTCATCCCTGAAATGAAGGACACCTCTATGGAGCGCGTGGGGCAGCCCCTGAGTAAAGTCATCGACCAGCTCAACGGGCAGCTGGACCCTCGCACCTGGTGCTCCCACGGCGAGCCCCCAGACCAGCCCTTTCGGACCGGCTCTCCGGGGGACACCCCGGAGAGACCGCCGTTTTGTGACTTTAGTGAGGGGCTTCCGGCCCCAATGGACTTCTACCGCTTTACCGTCGAGAGTCCAAGCACTGTTACATCAGGTGGCGGCCACCATGACCCTGCAGGGCCTAGCCAACCGCTGCATGTTCCTGGTGGCCCTGCGGCTGCTGGCCAAGAAGAAGAGGGAGGAGGAGGAGGAGAGGGACAGGCGCCTCCGCCCCTAGGGGCCACCCTGGGGGAGGCTCAGGAGCCAGAGACCCGGGCACCGGAGACCCAGGTGCCCCCCGTCAAGGAGGGGCCTGGGCCTGAGCCAGAGTCTGGGACCCAGGAGGCTCTTTGCCAGCTCAAGCGAGACCAGCCCAGCCCCTGTCTGAGCAGTGCGGAGGACTCTGGGGTGGAGGAGGGGCAGGGGAGCCCTTCTGAGATGTCCCACTCGGCAGAGTTCAGGTGAGCAAGGCTGTGTGCGCTGGTGAGAGACACTCCCAGTCCTTGAAGCAGGGCCCGGGGTCTGTCCTCCCAGTAACTAATAAGCACAACTCCCGGGAGACCCAAGCTGGGCTGGGAGGTAGGAGGGGTATGGTCCTCCCCTCCTTCATTTGGCTCCTGGCTGGGGGCAGAGCTATGACAGCTGCACCGCCTCTGGGGGCACTGCCTCTGGGTGCCTCTACGACCTCTGATACCTACACCACCTCTGGGTGCCTCTACGCCCTCTGATACCTACACCACCTCTGGGTGCCTCTATGCCCTCTGGATGCCTCTATGCCCTTTTGGTACCTATACCACCTGTGGGTGCCTCTACACCCTGTTGGTACCTGCACCGCCTCTGTGTGCCTGTACGCCCTCTGGGTGCCTGTACCACCTCTCTGTACATGTATCTCCTCTCTGTGCCTGTTTCACCTCTCCTGCCCCTGCCCCAGCCTGACACCGCGCCCTCCCCACACTTGTCCCTCTCACAGAGTGGACAACAATCACTTACTCCTGCTGATGATCCACGTGTTTCGAGAAAACGAAGAGCAGCTCTTCAAAGTAAGTCCCAGCACAGCCCGGGCAGGGCGGGGTGGGCCACCGAGCAGTCAGAAGGGGAAGCGCGCTGCCCGGGGCTGGCGGGCAGGAGCCACCGTGCCTGACCGGTTTCTGCTTCACCCGCAGATGATCCGGATGAGCACGGGGCACATGGAGGGCACCCTGCAGCTGCTGTACGTGCTGCTCACCGACTGCTACGTCTACCTGCTCCGGAAAGGTGCCTGCCGCCCCCTTCCCCAAGCCCCCCACACCCTGGGTGTCCCTCAGCTGCCTGGCGTGTGGTGATGAAGATACACTCCATGGGAGGTGTTGCCAGCAGGCCCAGCAGCCCCAAGACACAAGCCCGGGCCTCCTCTCCATCCGCACCCATGTCATCCTCCATCATTTCAGATCCCGGGGCCCAGGCGGGTCTCCTGGAGAGGGGCCAGGTCTTAGAAGACGGGCGGGGGAGGGAAGAGAGGCCGCTGTGGGTAATGAGCATTGGCATTTCCTTCAGGGGCCACAGAGAAGCCATACCTGGTGGAAGAGGCCGTCTCGTACAATGAGCTTGACTACGTGTCGGTGAGTCCAGGCTCCGCAGCTGCTGTTCGCTGTAGGCCCAGCCATACGCAGAGCAGAGCACGCCCCCCTCAGCCCCGGGGTTGGGCGCCAGCTCCTCTCTCCGAGCAGCTTCTGTCCATGGTGCTGGGGGTGGGAGCCGAGCTTGAGGGTGCCTCTCCGTCCATCCCTCCCTAACTCGGGCCAGGGTCCCAGGCCTCCGGAGCTTTACCTCGTGGCGACCCAGGGTGCATGTCCTCCCCGCCCCCCAGCCTGGCCCTCAGTCTGGCTGTGGCTGCTCTTCTGGCAGCGGCCAGGCCCGTGTGCATGGGAGGTGTGGTCTCTGGCAGGTGGGCCTGGACCAGCAGGCGGTGAGGCTGGTGTGCACCAACCGCAGGAAGCAGTTTCTGCTGGACACGGCCGACGCGGCTCTGGCTGAGTGAGTGACACCCGCCCTCCGCGGCGCTGGAGGATCGGCCTCGGCCACTGGGGTGGCCGTGCCCTGGACTCCCGCCCTCCGGTGGAGGGTGGGAAGTGGCATAGGAAGAAGTGGGGACAGAGGTATATTCCCTCTGGACCCTGCGGTCTGGTCAGAGAGGCAAGGAAATAGACAGACATGCCGACTGGTTGATTCGTGGTCAACCCAGGCGACTGCAGAGAGGAAGGGGTGGCATGAGTTTCAGCAGGAAGAAAGCATAGCCTGGCTGCTGGACCGCGGCGCCCCCAGGCCTCCACACGGAGCCTGCATGCAACCAGATGGCACTGGTGTTCCAGTCCTGCTGCAGCCCCTTGCCAGTCTCCCCTCGCTGTCAGAACCCAAGACCCCTTGGCCATTGGGAATGGGTAGGGCCTTTTCTAAGTCGCCACTGGGTGACTGTGGCCTGTGGTCCCATCACTGCCCCACTCGCTGCCCTGAGCTCTGGTTCCAGCCAGGTCCCTCCCCCAGTATCTGTGAGCCCAGCAGGGTGGGAGGCACGTGCCTCTGACGGCAAACCCCACTCCCTGTGCAGGTTCTTTTTGGCTTCTTTGAAGTCGGCCATGATCAAAGGCTGTCGGGAACCCCCGTACCCCAGCATCCTGACCGATGCCACCATGGAGAAGCTGGCACTGGCCAAGTTCGTGGCCCAGGAATCTAAGTGTGAGGTAAGAAGCTGGGGAGGCGGGGGCAGGGGCCGAGGGCCTGGGCCTGGGGCGTGTCCTTGCTCTCAGTGGCCCCCCTGGTGCTGGCCGGGACCTCACCGCTGTCTACTGTCCCCACCCCCCCGCCCCAGGCAGCCGCTGTGACCGTGCGCTTCTATGGGCTGGTGCACTGGGAGGACCCCACTGACGAGTCCCTGGGCCCCGTCCCCTGCCACTGCTCACCCCCCGAGGGCGCCATCACCAAGGAGGGCATGCTGCATTACAAGGCGGGCACCTCCTACCTGGGCAAGGAGCTGTGGAAGACCTGCTTCGTGGTGCTCAGGTGGGAGCCCCCGCAGCTCTGGTCAGGCTCACCCTGAGGTTGTGAGTCGACAGGTTATGAGCTCTTCGCAGCCCGTCACTGAAGGGAACCGAGGGGGGAGACTCCCTCCCCACAGGGCGTAGGAGGAGACATACCCAGGATATTAGAGCTTCTCTGTAAAGCCAGCCTCCTTGGGGGCCACCCCGGGCTCCCACCCCGGCCACCCCAAAGCAGCCCGCCTGGAAGGCTGCAGGCAAAGACCTGGGCAGGGCTGCCCCGAGCTCCCAGGTTGCTGTCCCTCTGCAGTCCTTTCTTCACCCTCCCCACCACAGAAGACAGCCCCCACCTCCTTGGCCTCGGGTTCAAGGCTCCAGCCTGTGGGAGTCCCCGGGATCTGGGCTCCACCTGGTCCCGAGCTGGGACAGGCCTCAGCCCTGCCATGTGTGTCCCTGCAGCAACGGGATCCTCTACCAGTACCCCGACCGCACCGATGTCATCCCCCTGCTCTCGGTGAACATGGGGTGAGTGTCCTGGTGACGGGGCTGGGGAGGTGGGGTCTGGCATCGCGGCCTGAAGGTCAAGGCTCTGGCTGAGCTTGGGCCCGCGCTCCTGTTCTCCCGGAGACATCTCCTGGCTCTCCCTCTTGTCAGCTTCGCCTGCCCCTGTGCCCGGGGTCCTGCTGAGCTCTGAAAACTGCTGGGACCCGGGGAGGGGGAGGGAAAGCTTCTCTAGGGAAGCAAGAGGGGAAGGGAAAGCTCCTCTCAGGGAAGCAAGAGCTTCTTGCCTGGAAAGGGTCTGGTCTGATAGGGGAGGCAGTCCCCGGCCTGATAGGGGGCAGTCCCTAGGCTCATAGGGGGCAGTCCCTTCCCTGGGAAGCGCCTGCCCTGATGGGGAAGATGGATGCACACATACTTGGAGGAAGCGTCAGCCCTAATGGAACATGAGGATGTGCACTGATTCTGAGAGGCTGGAGCTAAGAGCTGATTCTCACCCCTCACCTGGCCATGTTTAGGTTCTAGAAGGATCTTTGATTATGGACATAAAAGGTGTTACACAGGATGGAGTGGGGCTGCCCAGCAGCTCTCAGAGCCAGAGGGGTCTGGACTTCTCCTGGTGTCCTCCGCCCTGGGACTGGGCCGGCCCTGTACCCACAGGCCTTGAGCCACACCCAGGGGCTCCCACCCCGAGCCACCCCTGCCTCCTCGCTCCCGTTTCACCCCTCCTCCTCTGGCCCAGGGGGGAGCAGTGCGGTGGCTGTCGGAGGTCCAACACCACGGATCGGCCCCACGCCTTCCAGGTCATCCTTGCCGACCGGCCCTGCCTGGAGCTGAGCGCCGAGAGCGAGGCTGAGATGGCCGACTGGATGCAACACCTCTGCCAGGCCGTGTCCAAAGGGGTGAGCTGCTCCTGCCTCCACCGTTCACCTGGCCTCCCGACCCCGCTCTGTGTCCCTCCCCTAAACCCACGCCAGTCATGGAACAACCTGTGGGGACCAAGACAGGTTCCTCCAGGGAAAGCCCAGGAGCAGGCCCTGGAACTCTCATGGTCACCCCACCTATAGCCCTGAGTGGGCGGAGCCTGCCTGACTTCTGGAGGCGGGGCTAAGGGCTGGCTGGGCCCCTGGATGGGGAGCAGGAGCTCCAGCTTGCTTCCTGCCCCTCTGCCAATGCCCTCAGGTCATCCCCCAGGGGGTGCCTCCCAGCCCCTGCATCCCCTGCTGCCTGGTGATCACCGATGACCGCCTTTTCACCTGCCACGAGGATTGCCAGACCAGCTTCTTCCGCTCCCTGGGCACAGCCGCGCTGGCCGACATCAGCGCCGTCTCCACGGAACCGGGCAGGGAGTACTGTGTCTTGGTGAGTCCGGTGGGGGGTGCTGGAGGCAGGCCCTGCCGCAGGAGCCCTGTGTCTGCTGACCGGGCCCCGCTCTCCCCAGGAGTTCTCCCGGGACGGCCAGCAGCCCCTCCCCCCCTGGGTCATCTACCTGAGCTGCACATCTGAACTGGACCGATTCCTGTCTGCACTGAACTCTGGGTGGAGAACCATCTACCAGGTACTCAGCTGCCCGTGGCCCTGCGGAGCGAGCCGTTCCCTACAGAGAGGAGCCTTGTGTGGCACAGACCAAGGCAGGGGTTGGGGGCCTGGGGACAGCACCGGACCTGTAGCTCTGGGACAGACACGAACATTAGGACCAAAGGGCAACCCTGACTCCCAAGGAGTCTGAGACTTGGCGCCATCCCGGGCCTTGTTGGTTCCAATAGAATAGCACGAATTGAGTGCTGACGGTGGGGCTGAGGCCGAGCTGTTCCAGGTAAGCAGGACGCTCAGGTGCGAAGCCAGCTAGAGCGCAGGGCCTGCCAGGTGGGCACCCACCCCAGAGCCGGGCCTGCCCCGGAAGGAGGCTTGGGGCTGTCACCTGGTCTCAGCTTCAGCCCCACCTTGAAGGGCAGAATTCAGCTGGGCGGACGAGGCCGCCCTGGCGCAGGGGCTCCGTGGCCCTCACGCTCCCTGCCGCCCGACACAGGTGGACCTCCCCCACAAGGCCATCCAGGAGGCCTCCCACAAGAAGTTCGAGGATGCCCTGAGCCTCATCCACAGCGCGTGGCAGCGCAGCGACAGCCTCTGCCGCGGCAGAGCCTCCAGGGACCCCTGGTGCTGAGGCAGAGCTGGCCGGTGTCCTGGCGGGCAGGACAGGAAGGCGCGCGGGGCACACACGGTCACCACAGCGGTGGCGCGCTGCTCGGGGCCAGGCCTCCACCCGTTCCACAGCCCACTTCCACCCCGGGCGGTAGAACCAGTGGGCGGGGCCTGAGACAGGGTCTGTCCCTCCCTGTGATCCAGAGTGGGTGCGGAACACCCTGGGCACCTGCCCAGCAGGTGGGCACTGGGAATGCCAGGGGCAGAGGTCTGAGCCCTATGGGCTCTGTAGTTGCACAGCCTCCTCCCAGGGCCACGTCTCAGCCCACGCCATCTCTTTAGGATGGCGATGGGAATAATATCGACCCTGAGGGAGCAGAAGGATGGGGGGGGGGGGGGCAGATCCCCTCTTCCTCTCCGGCCCGGAGTGTCTGGCCATCCTGTTCATTTTTGAACGTATACCCGGCCGTGCAGGGAAGCGGAACACTGAGGTCTTAGTGCATGTCATCTCCTCACTAACCCGTCCCACGAGCACTGCTACCTGCCTTCCAGGGCGGGGCCGGGGAGGACTGGCCCTCCCTGGCTGCCAGGAGGCCCTGCATGTCCGTGGGCCCCTGCCCTTGCCTCTCCCTGAACCTGGCAGTGCCGTGGACCAGGAATCGGGCTGTGTCCTTGCACCGGAAGCAGAGGGGAGGGAGGCGGGCATGGAGCGGGGCAGAGCCCACCAGCCTGGGGTCCACGTTGGAGCCTCCTGACTGTCCTGCTTGGCGAGAGCCAGGCTCTTCCCAAGAGCTTGTCAAGGGCCCTCTTGGGGAAAGAGTCGGGTCTGGGTTTTGTTTTTTAAAATAAAATAGATGTTATATTGCCAAGACTTGTCACTGGCCCTTTTTGACCAGGATGGGGTGGGGGACCTCCAATCCCTCTCCTCAGGCCCCTCGACCCTCGTTCTTCATTCCACAACGTTCCATCAGCCGCCGGTGCCAACACTGGGAACCAGAGTCCCTGCGCCCTGGGGCACTCGAGTCTGGAGGAGCCCAGGCCTGGGAGTCCACGGCCTGACTTTTGCCCTCCCTCCTGTTTCCTGCAGGGGCCAGGGCTGGGGTGGCCCAGTCCTAGGCAGGTCCCCACCACCAGAAAGACACTCCTGCCTCCTGGCCTCCGGCCATGGGGGTAGATGCCAGCCGCTCGGGTAAACCCGGGAGAGTTCACGCTGTTCCCGAGGCCTCTTGTCGAGCTGCTGCCCCAGGGGCTGGCTAGAGGATGCCAAGCCTACCAGGCTGGGGAGCCGTTCGCCACTGCCACCTCCAGGGCCTCACACACACCGGAGGAAAGGGGTAGACTCGGGAGGGGGTGGGTGTGGCGGCCACCGAGGCAGGGTTCCAGGCAGGGCGGCTCTGCCTCCGGTTTTGACACTGACACCAGCGCCTAGGGTGATGCAGGGTGGCCCTGGCAGGAGAGAACTGCTCTGAGGGCAGAGGTCAAGGTGAGCAGCCTGGCGCCTGGCAGCAGTGCGGGGGGGGGGGGGGGGGGCACCTTTCACCAGGCACAAAGGGCCATTTCCTGCAGGGGCTCCTCCAGAAGCCACAACCCAGGAGGGGCTCCCACTGGGAGGAGGGTAGGGCGGAGGGACAAGTCCCTACCAGGTAAGTGGTGAAAGCCACTGGTCACTCCTGGAGGTCTCCTACCCGCCCAGGGACCCCGGCAGGGGGATGTGGACCACCTTTGTTGGGTGCTTTTCACACATCGCTGACCCTCCAGAGAAGCTCTGCCGTGGGTATGGCCGGCCCCCTTTACAAATGGAGAGCTGACGCTCAGGGGAAGTGACCTG